GGTTCCCCTATATTTAAAGATATCGCCGTTTCTATTGTTCTGTGCGACGTTAAGTCTATTACTTTATTTACTTTGACTCTCTTGGCTCTGACTTACTGTGATTTTTGTTAAAAACATTGTTTCGCAGTACGCGCACATTTTACGAGTCACCTGTCAGTAACGTTATATAAATGCCGTTTGTCGATTTAATGTACGGATTTATGTCCACTCGCTTTCTCCGGCTGTTATTCTTTGAAATATATATTCTTGATGAAAAGTTTACGTAACGCCGTCAATGAGCTGTGCCAAGTCCTAAAGGACAGATGTGATTTTCAGCGTTGCTTACGAAGAAACGGGAGACGATGAATCGTCGAAACTTTTTATTCGCCGCGCGGTGTAAAACGCGCGGAATGGAATGAAACTCGAGGTATCGGCTTTGCATTTGATCAACCGTGCAATGAATAAGGAAAACTTGGCCGCGTTCGATGCATCGGGAGCTGTTGCGCCCGTAAGCCTGAATTGTAAGCCCGCACAGCTGCGGGCGAGAAGGCGCGCATACTGAGAAATAATATCAAACGGGAAATAAATAGCATTCCCGAATCATAAATTATTCATAATAAATCACCGACCTCTCTCCCCCCCCCCCCCGTCTTTAGCTTTGCCCCGCGCAATATTCGGAAAATTGCGACGTTATTGTACGTAAAACGATAAACGCGCGAAAACTCGATTTTCATGAAATTTATTTAATATAAAAGGATACACACGTTTTACGCGCTCGATTGTAAAACAGAATGCTAGCTTGTATGTTTATTTGTACTAAAAAAAATATACATTTGAAAAATAGATATGCTTATTTTACAAATTTATTTCAAAATGTATTAAATAAATTCTGAAATACGGTATCTACCCCGGACTAAAAGTGATATGTATGAAAAGTGTAAAACAATGTAACTCTTTCGTGTGATATTTATCAGAGTCTAAGAATCGGGTAAAGTGAGTAAAGTGAGCAGATTATTACGGTGAAATAATTCGTCTCGAATAATCAGTGCGTGATGATGAAATCATGTGAAAGGAAGAGGGAGGGAGAGAGGGGGGGGGGGGAGAGAGGACGAGCCAGAGAGAGGTAAAATTAGACCCTTGCCAGATACGGCGTGGAATAAAATTCAAAGTATCGGCTTTGCATTTGATCAGCGGCGCGGCGAATAAGGAAGCCCCGTGTCCTGTTCGCATTCGTCGTATTCGAGCCCGCGACGGGGGCGAATCAATCCTCGAACTTCAAAGGAATCCCGCCGCTCTGATCCTTCGGGATTCCCCGATACGCGTGGGAGTCTTTAATCAGGGTGCGCGAGTCGACGGCCCTCGACGGTGCGTCGACCTCGAAATGGGCTTGCACGGCCATTGTCTTGCGGGCCGACCCGTCCGTCCGTCCTGTCGCGTGGCATATTAATTAAATCGCTAATTATTAAGCTAATTGCCGGTTTAATTGGCTCGCGGGAGAGGCCCGCGTGTACGCGAACGTAGAAAAAAATAAAGCGGCGACTCGAGGAGACGACTGCGAACCGCTTGATTGTGCGCCGTGATACCGCGCCTCCCGAACACGCGAGTCAGCCGGCAGTCCGACAATCCGAATTAGCCAACGCTGGATCAGCACTCGATCGCCTCATTCCGTATCATTGTCCCATCCTGCAACACGGGCAATCAGTCCAAAATTAACGATTATTTTTGACGACCGTTTAATTTATACACGACAAATTAACCATTTCGCCACGGAGAAGATTTCCGGATTACGTTCTATTACAACTTCGATCTGTCGTATAATAGGATTAAATTGTCATGTATAAATTAAACGTCGTTTGAAATGATCGTCAATTAGATGACAATCATATTTACCACGGAGAAAGGGAATACTTTAATCAATTCTTAAAACGTTCGATCGATTCTCAAATGCGTTGTGACATGCCGGGAGACGATTGATTTTAAACGCAAGGATACACATGTGAGCTTAAGTTTATATGTTTCACCCTTGTCTCGGTACGATAAGTCAGTCTTATTAATTCGAGTGACGAGAATAGGAATTGTTGATTTATTCTGAAGACGTTGCGACAAGTTGAAGTGTGTCTAAGATACTTTTTGTCTTGTTATCCGAGGTCCTTTCTGAAAGGGTGGGAAACGTATCTACGAGAGATAAGACGCACCTTCGCGTACGTCTGTACGCTGATTCGTGCCAGTTTACCCGTTGGTCATTAACGTACTCGCAATTGCGCGCATCCGCGCAATCGACGCGCTGTTCAATATTTATGCCTTCGGAATGGAAAGCACGTCGGGGAACATTCGTATCCCAATACCGTACAATGTGCTCAATGCGAGGCGAATACTTCGTATCGGAGGCACGCGCGGGAAAGAAGCGAGGAGCCCCGCGGTTTCGTCCTGGAGTTTGCACTACGAAAGCAGCCGTGCTTCGGCGCCCGACCGGCCCCGCAGACTAACAGGACAGGGTCAAAGGGGTCCGCGTGGCTCTATTGTGTTCCCAGTTAACTACTGCTTACTGTAACACAAAGCCCTGAAAAGCCAGCGAATTATTTAAAAAGACTCGTTATTGTTCTGCGAGGCGAATGGTCAAACCGCCGCGAAACCACTTGTTAACCAGACAGGAACTTTCGGCTGGGAAGAGAAGAAAAAAGCAACAGCCACGCCGCGAATGTATACGCGAAGGAACGGGACCGTCAGCGTCCGGCGCATAAATTAATGGAAACTTACCGGGGTGTAGCTGCAGGGGTATCACCGGATAAACGTAAAATATCGCTCGACATAAAATTTCGACGCATATTGGTTTTGCGGGCCCGGCTTGTTTAACAGAAAAATACGTAACGATATTCGAAGCGACGTAAAACATCGATGTGTCATAAAATTGAGTGTTATCAAAATAGGATACTCAAAATAAATCGATAAATACTGCGGCGACTGTGTAACCACAGGCCCCGCGCGTGTTGACACGCGCGCGAGAAGAAAACAACTGTCCGCCGATTTTGTTCTTCTAATTTCCCGTCCTTCGATAGTTCGCTAATGACGTTGCCTTTAAATAAACCGGTGTGTAAATTTAAAACAAAAACCGCTCTCTCCGTTCGTATATATCTTACCGTCGTCGTTTTATTTACTACGTTTTTTTGATATAATAGCAAAACTGTCCTGCAGTTTCGAACAATAAATCGAAATAAAAAATAAATATAATGCCAATACACGCGGGACACAGATAGTAAATAATATATTAGCAATCCATAACGGAATAGTGACATGATACAACGGATAGCTTGATAATGAATCTTGAACGAGGTCACGAGAGAAAATAACTTCGAACCCGTATCTACTTTCTTGCAGGCGAGTTATCGCGCAACATAAATGTAACAGCGCGCTGTTTCCAATGATTACGAATTTTACGTCAGACGGGCCGCGCGCGTGCAAAAAATACAATCGTAAATGAAAAAAAAAACTGCCCCTGGAAAAACAACTGTCGTTCATTTGGAATGGGATGGTAAAAATTGGCGGTAAAAATTTGAGCTTCCCTCGGAAAAATGGCACTCTTACGGCACTGTTTCGTTATCGAGGTTTCGATTGCGTAGAATGACGACGTACGGCGCCACCGCGTGCATGATTTAGCGCACAAAATTTTCCCCGCGAACCTTTGCAAACCGTATACACATAATCGGACGGGAGAATGGATACGGATGAATTTTTTGTTTGCATTCTGAAGAGGTTTGCACGATAATAATTGGCTCTCACGACCACTTTAAATTTCAGGCCGCTTTGGAGTACTCAATTGCGTTCGGTTGATCGAATATTTTTAATTACCGCTGTATTTGTGCCGTTCGCTCTGCGGATGCACGCTAAATAAATTAATACGCGCATGTCAACTATCGCGGAGCCATTTCCCGCTGAGATTTCCATTGCGCGGTCGAGAGAGAGAGAGAAAGAGAGGGGGGGGGGGGAATTTTCCACTGTATTTTCCGAGACCTTTCGGGAGTCGAGATTTCAACGAGTCAGGTTAATTTTTTAATTTTTGTATAATTGCCAGCCGATTAAATTATTTGAATTGTGTTCCATTGCATCGTCGTACGGCACATAAATGAGTTAAGTTCTAGGATCTATTTCGGTGTGGGAAAATATAGCGTAAGAAATAAAGTGGGAAATTTCGTCGTCTGTAATAATAATAAATTTATTGCAATTTACGATAAACAAGTTACAAGTGAATGAACATAAATAAAGTAACAAAAGACCAATACGTGCGTGGAAATGGCAAGGAACCAACAATACCGTTGTTTTGAAGCCTACCAAAACAAATAAAGATATAGAGAAAATAAAGTGCACACATTAGCACGCACGAAGAGTACAACGTTAATAATTTTTTAATAAACAATGAGCGATGGCTAAACCTTTTCAATGTTAATTCAGGATGATCCTCGATAATAAATGTCAGATTTAAGAGTATTGACCCTCTTTTCGGTACAATTATTTTACCTTTATTTAAGAATTTATATTTGCAAGAACGTTTGAAATATTATTGATAACAGCACTGAAAACGGTAACAAGTATAACACTTAATTATTCAGTGAATCAGAGAAATATTCGCTGTTTTCAGTGATAATCCACTGATTTCCAGAGAGCGCAGTTTATGTTATTACGATAGTACATATTTAAACGTGTACAGAAACGTTTACGGGAATCGTTGATGCTTTTTGTTACGTAGGTACCGGATTGGTGATACGAAAGCTGGAGGTACCCAGTATCGCTGATCCAAGATTGGACAGAGTGGTACTCAGATGCGAGTACGATCTCGATAACAAGGAACTGTACTCGGTAACGTGGAACAAAGACGGCCAGGAGATCTTCAGATTCATGCCGAAGTCACCGACACCCAAGCGACCTCAAAATATCAGCGGGCTGTACATCGACCTCAGCCAGAGTGACAGCAAGCAAGTGACACTTCTGGGCCCGAACACGAATAAAGGTGCGCGACATCGATTCATTGATTCACAAACGGGCATTGCAACATCCGTTTTGTTACGTTTCTTGTGTAAAATATCAGTCTCTCATATATAATTTCAATCAGTTGTTGTAGCGAAACAACATTTCAAAATGTAGAGTGTAAGAAACTAAAGCTGATGTCGAAAGTTTAATAATTTCGTTGAAGACTCAAAGATGATAATTCGGTTCTCGGAAGAATCATAGTTTGTTTTACTATAATCACTTATTAAAATTTATCAAACGAAAGTTTCTTCCTCATTAAGCTTATATCTTGCTTCTTTTCTCCAACTTGATATCAGGTAAGGTCGACTTGGCAGGGTCTTACGGCTGCGAAGTGTCATCCGAATCGCCGAGTTTTGAGACAGATTACAGAGAGGCGAACATGAGTGTGGCTGTACCGCCTAACAGTGCTCCGATACTTGAAGGGGTGCGACCTTCTTACGAAATCGGCGAGATCCTCCAAGCGGAGTGCACATCGGGGTTGAGTTTCCCCCCGGCAGTTTTAACGTTCATCTTGAACGATAAAGAGGTGAGTCGGCGAGGTTCGTCGGCGAGAGGGTGCCGTCAGTTAAATTTTCGAGGGTTCGCGCGCGAGTTCGAAGAGAACGAACGAGGACGATCTTCCGAGACTCCGCGTATCGGAAGTTCTTAAACTTTCGCTCGCACTGTGAGTCGTTTGCGTTCGGCACAGAACAGCTTTCTATTTGCCCGAAACAATCGTCAATCAATCAGACGCAGAGTTTTCCAGTTCTCAGCGTTAGACGTCCTCGGTTCTTCGACGCTGAAAGACTTGTTGGTGGATTTTTATTAAGATTGATCGGAGGGATATTCATCCGCGGGATATTATCCAACTACCTTAGGGCGTCCCTATAGCGCCGGCAGACACGAAACGAGCGAAAATTTCGTAATTAATCGCGCAACGTAATCCAAAGCTCGCTTCCGCAGGCTGTTAAGCGGGCATGGTGAACTAGGAGCCACATAACTCCCATTATTCAATGCTACGCTGCGCACGTCATTCGCGAGGAGGTACTACCCGGTTTATTCAACGACAATTTGTCAAGCGAGGCCGGTTCGCGTGGGCATTTTTATTTCGCCGGTTAACCGGCCGCGCGTTCAAGTCTCAATAAATACAGAGCTGCGAGCCGCAAATTAATTCCTCGAAAGAATAAACTCGCGACGGGGATATGCGGCTCTGGCGAGACTATGCCGTTCGTATGACAAAAATCGTACAATTCAGACGAAATTAATATAATAAACGACGCCGTCTCGTTCACTCGGGAGACTCGTTTACATTCACGAAATTAGATCTTCCTACGCAATCTCTTTTAATTTCTCATATTAAATGTCTCGGTAACGCGCGGCTACGGCACCAATCCCGCCGCCGCTAAAGTTGAAATGTGGACTTGGCAAATTGCGGTGGTTTTTAAACTCGGCGGTCGATTCTCAACAGGTGAACAGAGCCTTGACTAAAGACCTGCAGGGAATTGGCAACCTGGACGGACTGCTGCTGTCAACGACGCGGCTGGGCCTGACGATGCGCCTGGAACGGCATCACTTTTCCAGCGGCAGTCTGACTCTGATCTGCCAGTCGACGCTACCGGGAATCGCCAACGACCAGCCTCTCAGGACATTGGAGTTCGCCACTCTCGCCGCCAGCAACCAGCGTCTCGCCCAGGAACCCCCCAAGTCAGGCTCCAGGTCGAACGTCGGGCTCTACCCGATTCTAACTTGCTGGACGATGACCGTGATCCACGCGATTCACTACAACAGCCTCAGACCTCCGTGCGTTTAATGTCGATCGACAAACGCTGGGGAATCCGCGGCGCCGACACCCTTAAAACGTGCTAATGCCAATTAGTGTACACGTCTTTACGCGTTCTCGCGCGACCGTCAGGAAAACGTCGGCGGGCCATCATCGGCTTTTCTCTACGTGTCAATCGAGTGCACGACGCACACTCCGGCGCGTCCCGAATTCGCGAATCCGTACACGTTCGCTCGCACGCGTACACACAGTGTTTAGAACGCCCCGTATATCGTATATGTAAGTCGGAGATAGCAATACAGCTCTGCGTAAAGTAGGTCGGAAAACGGCGGGCGCACGACGATTGTACATAGTGTATAATTGTGAATTAGCATTACAAATTGTCGTGTATAATTAACCGGACGGAAGGACCGTTGGAGGATGTTGGAGAACACGATGAAAGTAACGTGGAGATCTAAGCGCGCGAGCGGCTCTTTCGGGAGGTGGACAGCTCCGGCGGCTGGGGACGTCGCGTCCGAGAAATACATTATCTATCACTCGTCAGACCAGAAAATATCGTTTAAGAAACATAAGTGTATACGGGTTCGTAATCCTAAGTACGGCCCCGGCGTACGTAGCATAAGTATGTGGTTAATTCGACTATATTCTCCACATCCGATCTTCCTCAGCGAGGCAGACGAGAGCTCTGCGATACGTGTGGGACACGGCGCTTTTGTTTCTGCAATTTTACACGATCCCAAGTGTCGTCGTTATCGTCGAAGCGATTGCAGTAATAAAGTAATTTAATCAACCTGCTGGGTACCTTTCTCGCGAACCAGACATCCCCTTTAGCGTAACGATTTTGCCGCACGTCAGTTGTGCCGCGTGTATAAATGATCAACCGATCGTTATCGCACTAAGGAATAAATCGATACGCACAGCAGGGGCCACGGCAGCTATCCGAGGCTTTCGACGGCGTTTCCTTTGCCGGCGTTTGTACAATGGAGGACAGCCGGTCGCGACTCGATATATACATAATTTGCGTAAGTAACAAAGGCCGGCGAGATAAGAGCAGTTAAAGACGTCAAAGGGGAGTCGGGGGACGGGGGTAAACAATAAACGGAGAAATTAGCGGAGGGGACGATCGCGCCGAGGAAACCATCGAAAGAGTAGGGCGGTCACATAAACCGTCTCGGATTCACCAAACGGATCCTCCCTCGCCCCCCTCGATCCGATCTATCGGCGCGCCGACTCTGTGTGACTCGCCTTCCTCTCCTTGATTCGATTTCCAGATTAATTAAGGATCGCTGGTCTGAAAGGACGCCCTCGAGATCCTTTCAACGGGGTCGAGTATCCGTCCGGGGCCGGGCGGCGTAACGAGCGCCGATTCGAATCGGTTTCACGAGACACCGAGCCTGATAATGACATTTTCCGTCGGCTCAGGTAAGTCTATCTTACGACTCCATGCCTGCTTACTGATTACGAGCGCCTTCGATGAAATCCTCAATTTAGTCTCGCCACACGAGAGGGCTTTCCGCAACTCCCTCCGCACCGCTTTTCCACTCTCGGCCCCCGCGGGGCTTGCGAGAGACACCGCTTCATCCCGATATTTTTGTAATAAGAACTTGTAGGATCGGATTTTTTTTTCGCGAAAAAATCGAACGTCCATGCTTCGCATACATTTCGTTTTTACTAATCTTTCTGTTGTCTTTGCGTAATTATTTCGAATTATATTCTCGTTAAAAAAAACACACGCGATACGCCAGTATTGTACAAGTCGACGTCAGCTAATGTGACATTTATTTGGGTTAAGGGGATGCTGGAGTGACGGCTGAACTCCGACGTGATAGTTTGAAAATTTCAAAGACATAATGCGATACGAATTAGACTTCAACCCTCAATGTTTCTTACATGAAAATGTTCTACTGTGCAGTCCACACACCGCTCTGGCATTATTTGGTACATAAAAGCCAATAATAACATTTATAAACGCAAAAACTATATGCAACTCTGTCGCTAAATCAAATCACTCCAGCATCCCCTTAAGGGAATCCTAAAGCCGCTAGCGAACTCGATCCAGTGTCGATTAAATAGGAGACGGAATTAAAAACATCAATTATCGACATTTTGAATTCCAAGTTTTACTCGGTCCAAGAAATTGTAGCCAATCAATTTGCAACTTTGACGAAAAAGCAGCAATTTTATTAGCCAGACCGACATTTTAGATCGAATTCTAGCATGGCTTCACGGACAATCTGACAAATATTTGGTAGCGACCTCTCTCGAAAAGGCCTGCAACTATTTCTACACGCCGTACTGCTCTTTTTCTCTTCTTCTGGACTTGCGTTTATTAGAAGTAATCTTTTTTTCTAGGCTATTAATCTTAGTTCTAATTGCACGATATTGATCTTATATGTTGTCTCTAGAGTATGCTGGTCTCATTTTGTATATATTTATTGTAGAATTCTTGTATCAAGCAAATATTGTCGTCAAGTGTACCACAAATTAGTAAAATTTAAATTTTGTTTCGTTTTTTATATAAAGTCGACCAGCATAATTTAGATTTTGCTGCGTGCTTTAATTCCGTAAAAGAGTTTTGCATTTCTATAAAGCTAATTAAAAGATTACTTCTAACAAAGAATGTCGTTAAAACAGACGGCTTTAGGATCCCCTTAAAGTACAACATTTCTTTTTTACTTGTGTTCCAAAGGTTTAGTGCGACGGCTTCTCGATTTTACGTTATTTGTGACATTCTTATAATTTGATAGTTCGCGGGAAGAGATATATATATGCGATTGATCCGGGACGACCTACATAAGACTGTCGAGGACAATAGTCAAGCGGCGAACTCACAACTGAATTGTAGACGACGCGACGTTAGGAAGGCTTTAGGGCGCTCGAAGTCGAAGGTAGAGACTCCCCCCATTACCCTCTCGCTATTACTCCCCCCCCCCCTCCACTTTGCTTTATCACCTCTTCCCCAACAGTGACAGGAAGGGAGGAGGGTATGTGTGCGCGAGTGTTATATGAATGCAGTTATCATACGTGCTATGAACACGTATGATAGCTGCACATTTCTGGCGAGGGTGCGTGCGTGTAAACGCGCGCGCGCGCGCAGTTGTGTATAACCCGCAAGAGATGCCAGGAACTGATACGAAATCGATAGAGAACCCCAGTTTCCGGCGACGTGACGTGCCAGCGTTATACCACTCGCCCAACAGCAGCATCAACCGGCGACAGGAACAACACTACGCCAGCGATCTTCCAGGCGATTCGCGCGTCACTCGAGTACGCTCTGATTAGGGAGATAGATATGCCCTCCACATATCTCCCTCCCTCTCTCTCTCTCTCTCTCTCTCTTTCAAAAAGAGAGACTCCAATATCACGAATTTCCAGAGAGGGTTACGTGGAAATTACAACAATACACGTTGCTCATTTGTGTGCCGCGTACAATTGCCATAAATAGAGGATTAAATGTATATATATATATTCGTAATAGAGTGATAAAAGGGCAAAGGAAAGGCGATAATGTAAATTGAATTAATACTTTATATCATTTTAACAAAAGAAATTAATGGGGTAACGTTAATATTTTAAAGATCGATAAAACACATATACATATAAATGCACGCACACAGTCGTTTACAAGTTATATTATATTATCGTTGAAAAAGATGTATCGGTAAATGTGGCAAATGAGAAAGATGAAGATTTTATGTACGATCGAATGCACAATTTGCCCGCGCGTAATGCGCGAGTAATACGCATTTATATGGAAACCAGATTAAATCAGATTTTCATTGGTCACGAAAAGTGAGAGGTAATTGCTCAGAATTAATATCGAGCCTCGCATTTTCGTTCAGCCGGCGCTGCTGCGCTTTCGCGAATACAAATCACCAGTCGCGAATAATAATCGAATGCTGTTTAATCGCAAGCGTTTAATACGAGGCATTGGAATTGGATAATCGCTCTTGTGTCCGCAAATGTAAAATTGAATATTCTATCGAACGCAGGTGGAAAACTTACGGCGGCACGCGTACATTTTGCGGGGCGCATTTTCAATATCTCGCGAGAACAATTATTACGCCTGCGCTCCGAAAATTAATGAACTCAATTAAATGAATTGATATCCCGTTGACGTCAATTCCGTCAGAGACCCGCCATGACAAGTCACGATCGCTATAATACCCGCGTTCTCTCTCGGTGACAAACTTGGGGAACGTGGCGCGATTGGCAAACAGAAAGCCCGCATACCGATAAGGAATTATGATGTTGACGGTTACATCGCGACTGCTCGTAAGTGATTTCCGAACGGAAAATTCGCTGCGGAAAATGCACCATCGCTCGCGGCAGCCTCCCCCCCCTCTCTCTCTCTCTCTCTCTCTCTCTTTTCGGGTTTCGATATGTACGGGTAGAAATTTTCGGTTGCCATAAAAGCTTTTAATACAGACAATTTCTCATTTTCACGTCTCTTTTGCAAGCAAATTTCTTCTGCGTTTTAAATTAAATAGGTTCAAGTTTAGATTGTTTGAAAATTAACATTTTACTAACAACTTACATTCTTGGAATGATAATTTGCATACCTTTAAGAATCCTTGAATTTTTAACGTTATACAGCCCGCAGATAAATCTCAAAATTTTATCTTCGTTATAAGCGAAACTTTTGAAAAGTCGCGAGCCACTTAGATAGAAAGGTTCTTGTTAGAAGATTCAGTATACAGTTCAATCTCTCTTAAGGTAGTAGTTTGTTCCTGATGGAAAACTACGAGAAAGCAATTCTCGAAAAATTGTCAACACGGAGAAATTCCAAGTTTTTTGATCCGTAGCGTAGCAACGCCACACAAATCCATAAAAGATTTTATTAAATAGTCGAAACCACTCGCCTCGTCCCCCGTTGAAAGGAGCATGAAGTTTTAAGGGAACGAGAGGCAAAAGAGGCCGCGCCGGCTAGATTAAAGGAAAAAACTTCGCGATTATTCAACTTTACCATTCCGGCTTTTCGGGACACTTCATTCTTTTCGCAAATGCGATTGGCGAATTTGGAGCATCGTATATTTATCCATTTGCGAGCACTCACTTTATCCGCTAACTGGGCTAGGCGAACTAAACTCTCTGACAAGTTATAATGAAACGCAACTATATCTACCTACATTACCAGAACGCTGTACTTTAGCATTCGATTACTGTACTTAACATTAGGAATTAGTTCACAATTATGGTTTCCTCTGAGTTTAATACAAAAAAAACTACTCTCTTGTATGCACTGAGAAAAAAGGTTGTTAATATTACTAACTACATTTAATATTTGTTTAGTCGTTTAGTAGTTTTCAGATATACATGTGTTTAAATTGAACATATGTCATTTATCAAAATACATATTTTTCTTAATTAAAAAGTATTTGCTCGACAGCCCGCATGGCATGTAGTTGAATTTAAAAGAAAGTTCTTTTTATTCAACACTTTTTCCCCAGTGTGTTATTTGATATATGACAATTAAGTATCATAAGTGTGCATCGGATAGAAGCTTACCATGGATAACAATCAAATTCACAAATTATCTTATTGAGCCACGCAGTCGCTTGAATTATCGCCTATCGTAAAGTGTTAAGTCCTACTGGAAAATCTTTAACACCCGGGAAAAAATGGAAAACTCTCATTAGATATGTGTCAATCATGTAATATCTAATTGTATTATATCTCATGAGATCCAGTTCTAAAAATCATTAGATCCTCAGAGATGTGACTCTTTCCTTGAATGTTCGAGATTATCCATTGAGATCTAACTAAATCTATAATTAAATGTCCTA